TTCGTCCGATTTGCATGATTGTCACGGCATTGGATTCAGGAAGCATGTCGCCATCGCGCTATAAGGCCGCATTTTCAAATTTGTTCTCGGAAGTTTCAGAACTAATTTTATATTTGCGTTTTTGTTAGAGTTTTGGAAAAAGGTCATCGTGGCGTAAATTCTAATTTAAAAAGGCGTCAAATGCCGTTTACAGATCGAAAATCAAACCATTTGTGCAGACGGTATCGCTAAAGTAAATTTTACTTATTTTGGTGTTGCCACGTGGTGGCTACAAATTCTACTAGTGTCGGGACTACTAGTGGTGGTACAAATTCTACTAGCCTTAAGCCCAATCGCTATTTAACTTTCTTGTCGTGTTCGATATTGGTATTTAATGTAAAATGCATCATTTTTAAATGAAAATAATATGAAACCATTCTTTTTTATTAGCTATTCTATATTAAATCGAAATTTAGTCCTTTACAGACCTCTCTGTGGCCCACCGTCCCTCTCATTCTCCATTCCAGTGGGTTCGCTGGACTTAATGTCCCGTCGCCCTTACGTTTCTGCAATGATTTCCACTATTCTCACATTCCCACAATCGTTTACTTATTAGATGCCGAGGTAACCCGCAGGCTCATCTCATTTAACTCACTTTCTCATCTCACTTTAACCGGTAAGGAGGAGGGCAATTACCATGGGTAAGGTAGGAATAAGATTGCAAGGTGATATTCATACTGGTTAGGAGTCATCATCACGCCACAGCACACAATCATCAATGTTCAAGGTTGAAATCGAATCCACGACCCTTCGAATTCCTAAAACGCTTCGAACAACTAAGGCATGCTCTTCAATGATCTCGGATAACTAGGGTCTCTGTCAAACCATTATTTTTGAAACAATAATTTATTCTTTCTTTAGTGAAGACGGCAGGGTACGCCATTCCTCAAAGGTTACTGAACCTGTGGGATTTAGAAATCATTGTTAAGAACAGGTCAATCCTTGATCTTCAAGTCTTTTTGCAGCAAGCCATAAGAGTTAGCAAATTATGTCAAGAGTCGGACAGAGATTTTGGTGCTCCTCAGAGATGCGGGTCCAGAAATTAAACTCGAGAAAGATGAATGATTATATTAAGAATTCTGTTCGAGCACGGCAAAAAATATTGCATTTTTCTGAATTTTTAGGAATCATTTTGAAAGTGATGAACTTAACCTTTTTTATAAAGGCTTTCATTTTTATTTATATAAAACAGTGTTGCTGTATGACAGTAGAAATTTCCATCAAGTATTCCTATATGGCAGTGCATTATTCTTTAAACATGGCAGCCGGGTAGTACATTATTGAATGTATTATTCGATGAACGTACTATTTACACTAAAAATGATTGTAATTTCATTTCATATACGCATTATTGTGATGATAGTGACTAATAGGTTTCATTATTATTATTATTATTATTATTATTATTATTATTATTGTTATTACACAGTTTTTCAAAATTTTTCGCTCGTCCAGAGTTTTCAGATATAATTCAAGGACAGAACGTCAACACATGGTGAGACAGACTGTGAGAAGTCTTGCTCCAGCGCACTCAGGTTCTTCTTCAATGACTAAGAGAGAGATACTTACGCACAATATTGGTGGTTACCAGCAACCCGGCCTTCTGCACGATTCTCCATCTAAGTGCCATTCACTTAGATGGAGTTTCTCTTTCACAATTCTCCAATCTTCAACAACAAGCCCATTGGTTGAAATAACGATTACAATATCTACCTCTATTAATTTGTATAGGTTTTTCATTTCAATTGAGAGTGACTGGTATTTTCTTTACTGC